ATCTGCTGCTCTTTGCACCCCTGCTTGCCCGATCCATGTCCAAGACGCAAATGCTTCAGCTTGCTCTCTTGAACACTCGGCAACCACCACCCTGTGCTACGACCTCAGTAGCCTCATGTCCCCCTCACCCCACATCCCACCCTTCCCTTTCAACCCAGGCAGCGCTCCTCAGTCAACCAGATGTGAAGAACAAAAGGAAAAGCTTGGATCAAGTGTGTAACCCTACGGCACTCCGCATGCAAAGAACTCATAGGGCGAGGCCCACAGTCAGAGGAGACGAGCCTCCCACGGCCGAGTGCTTTGTTGTCCTACAGGCAGTGCTGCCTGCCTTCATCCCTAAGATAATTAGCTGTCGAAGGTGAAAGAGCAAGGCTGCTCCAAGCAGAATTCATTATGCACATGCCTGCAAGCAGTACGCTCTAGAAAAAACAACATAAAATGTGACAGTGAATTGCCCTCACTGATTTTGCTGATTCCACTAAATTTCACATCTCATAATGTCTCCATATTGCTTCAATTGTCTCTTCTGAGGCACAGCTGTGACTCTCCCCACTGAAGCCTTGTGGCTGCAGAAAGGGAAATAAAACCTAGCCAAGGCGTTCAACACAGCAGCCTTTTAATATACAGCCTGTTCCCTACATTCATACGTTCTGTATCTCCAACTACTCTCTCCCTGCTAGAAAGACTAATAGAATTGGCTCCTCTTATTCTCAAAGCTGTGGTATAATCTGGTTTTTCTCCTGGGACGAAAGGTGACTTCTGTTTAAGGATCCAAAGTAGTATTTAGTGGAAATGGGTTCAGTTCCTACTTCCCAGATGTTCTGCCACCATCTTCCACATCCACCTCATCTAAATTTGGACACCTGAATAAGGTAATAAACCTTAATAGATAGCCAGGAGGGGCTGCTAACTGCTGGCCATTGAGACCCTCCTAAAATCATGTGAAGGTCCTTATGTTTCCACTGATTGTAGAGAGATCCCACACTCTTCTTACTGTAGTACCTCAGACACTCACTCTGGTTTTGCATCCAGATCCCAAGGCTGGACAAGGCATTTGGGCCCATTTATTTCTAGAGGGTCTATTACTGCTCACGTCAGTTTGTGTTATCTGTGGGATGAACTGAATTGTGCTGGCAATGGAGAGCCCTGTAAAAGCTTGAATGGATGGGTGATTAGCCAGCCAACTTGATCTTCAACGAGACAGTCTTCCAGATAAAACAGCACTGAACCATGGAGTAGGTCAATGATGCTGATGTTTTATTTTTCTATTGCAATTGCATGGTACAAAGCCCAGCTGTGAATCAGGGACCCCATCTGGTAAGTGCAGGTGGGAAAACACATCTCTTGCCACACATTTCAGAGAAAGCTGGGTCTTCAGAGCTCTAGGATTGCTTGTTTGTGGTCACACTCTGGCTAGCACAACCTCTGTGCTTTTGTGTCTGTTATCATATCGCTAGATATAAGATAAGAGCCCTGTTTAACATCCAGCTTTTTGGTTGAAGTAGTTCTCTTCCTCCTGGGTCTGCTTTGCATCTGTACCCAGGGCACTAGTAAAACATTTTCTGCCTCTCCTGTGCAATGGCATAGTAATTTGTTTCCTGGATATCTCCTTGTCATTCAATCTGACGATTCTTCTCCCTAGGAGATGTTGGCTTCTTCTCCTCTGAGGCAGTGTAGCTGCCAAAGTCCATCTCAGCCCACTTGGACTGAAAACTCCTATCTGGCATTCTCCCCCTCATCTGCACGGGTGAGAGAAATGTCAAGCAATGAAACACAAGAACTGCCCTGGTCTGTCGGTTCACGTGAAAGGAGGAGGAAGCCTGAACTGTGTATCTGCCCTTCACACGGGTTGGATGCCTTGCAGAATTACCCATTGGACAGCGGTAGAAACAGGTCGCTGTCAATTCACTGCAGAGCAGCAGACCCAGGCAGCAAAGGAAATAAGAGATAGGGAACAGCATGCTTGAGCTGAGAGAAAGGCACGCTCTGTCCTGTTGTAAGGGGAAGAAGGTTTGAACTCTGAAGTTAGACCAGCATAACGCACAAGGGAATGAGGAGGAGGTATCTGATGAGTACAGCTACATGCTGTGCTCGCTCTGGGTCAAGTCTGGCTCTCGTGTCTGCGCTGCCGTGCTGTCTGTTCTCCGGTCTGCATCTGAGCGGCTTATGCTCAGCCTCCAGTCCAACTACCTGTTCAAACCAGACAGCATGTCCAACAAGCCCATGTTAAAGCACAGTTATCAAGGACACTGGAGATTTAATCACATTTGAAAAAAGAGCTCTTTAATTTCAAAGCAACCCTATTACTGGAGAAAGAGAGTTATCATTAGTCATGGATATAAGCAGTAGTTCATGGGCATAGGGTCCCTAGGTGGTAGCTGACTACAAAAACCGGGGTAAACATAGTGCAGCTATACTTTGGTATGAATTGCTAGCACCTTTCTATGATAACGGCCCTGCTGATCTAGCCAAGCCAAGTTTTCATCAATAAGAAGTCAAATCTTTGCCGGCGCACGCGATGCACAGGAGGTACTCTCTTACCATTTTGGACCATGCCTTGGGCATTGCTGTGAGTACTAGATGGCTTTTAGTCCTCCAGCCCTGCCCCAGCCCCAAACCCAAAGATTTCTGAGCCTCACTGCATCCTCTTGAATGCTCTTAGGGCGGTGCTCAGTTCCATTTGGATCAGCAGCACCATAACCTCACCCCTGGAGCATCCAGACAGAGTATCTCTCCACACAAAAACAATTGCAACTTTTTGTTCTCTGGCTGGGGTTCCTGGACTGCTGCTTTTTGTTCGGGTTTATTTTATTCTCAACATAAATAAAGAAAACAAAACTAGTGCAAGTAATAGTCTGAAACTGCTAAAGTTACATTGCAGGAGACATGGAACTAGAACAAGGAAAACATTCTCATGGGGTTTTTTTTTTCTGAGTAGAATTGGTTAATCTTGGGTTCAGACTTTACTCACTCAGCAGGCCTGCCCTACAATATTTACTTACAATCACAGCAAAGTGCATTAAAACAATGTTAAAGCAGTCACACCAGCCCACAAAGAGCAAATAGAACTAGGGACGCTCTGAGATGAGACGGCGGTGTGCTTATTTCAGGCCTTCCTCTGCCTATCAGCTGGTGCCCCATTTTTGGCCAGCACCAGAGATGCTGGGATGCTGTGGAGGGAGCGCAGTGTTCCTGGTCAGGGGCGCTGCCCACTCTGGTGGTTCATTTTGTATTGGCATTTTGTCCTCTGCAAGGGATGGACAACCTGTCCCCGCTACACAGATGCTGAAGGTAGTGCGGTGTACGGAGCAGTGGTCAAGCCTCTCCTCCCTTTTCTCCTCTACGTTGTTGTGCTGTAAGGACAAGCCTTAACTGAGAGACCATTAATCCTCAAGGAGGGGCATTACCTCGGGCATATTCATGACCATTATGTGGGTCTCTGCTCTGCCCCAGAGTCTGATTCCTCGAGGAGAGCCTGAGTTGAAGCCAGAGGTTCTTCCTGGTGACAGAAGGCCAGGGCCGAGCCATGCAGAGAGGGCTCAGCTGCCACTGTGCTCAGAGCAGCCCTGACGTGATGCTCTCATCTTGAACTTGATGCAGTTCAAGGCGCTGTGAAATCTTTGTTTTCCTTAAATGACCTTTGCTTGCACAAGACAGCCTGCACTCAGCTGTGGGCTGCTCTGCATACTTCATCGCTTCAGCAAGGAATCCACTTTCCTCTGCTGAACGGCTAAGGCTCAGACAGATGTTTCTTCACATCCACGGAGCATGATGATATAATTGGCAGAGCTCTTGGAGAGGAGCTGTCTGTATCTCTTTATGTGTCAGCCCCTTCCACGCCAGCTCCTCTCATCCGTGTCAAATCCTTCTCCAGCGCCCTTCTGCCCTTCTACCAGCATCTCCCTTACTTCGCTTTGAGTCCTGCCTCTGCAGAGCATTTGTCCGTAGGCTGGGTACAGCAGGGAGAAGATACAGAGCCGTGCAGAGGATTAAAATGGATGATGATGTTACCCCAACAGATCTACTCCAGCCTGCATGGGCTCAAGGCTCTGTTTGGCATTTTTTCACCAGGAAAAACATTTACTTTGGGAGAGGAGAGAGGAGAGAGGAAAACAGAAAAAAGGCTAACGCTCACAAATCCAAAAACAAAGTATGGACTCAGAAATTCTCTAGTGCCTTTTTGGATGATTTCACGTCTAAAAGAATGAATCCGTAATACAATAGTGCTGATTCTGACATTTGAGTATTTACAGTGGGATCTTTTGCAGGTGGAACTTAGGAGGAAAAAAAAAAAAAAGAACAGCTCAGAGGGCAAAGGTTTTGTTTAAAAATGTACAACAAACTGTAGCTTAGCATCAAAACCCAAGAAAAGCCATTTATTGGCTTCTTATGAGCACTAGAATATCAAGACATCCTAATGAAGAATGGATGTTTTTCAGGAAAAATTGTGAGCAAGAAACTGTCATAGTTAAATGTAGTTAAATCTTCCCTTTTGCCTGGTTGGTAAATGATTAGAAATAGTACACAAAAGCCAGGTATTTGAAGGAGAGAGAGGCTCCAAAGGTGCAAAGTCCAGATTTCACGTTGTTGGAAGTTTAAGACTGAGGTCTGGGAAGAGGCATCTGTAGAGGCAGGGACCACGGGTCATGCAATGAATCAGACACCAGCTCTGAAGAATAGGAATGGCTCTTGGCAGCTCTTGCAGCCTCAGTATGACTTGAGGTACTTGACACTCTGCTTTAAAGATCCTGGAGTCAGAAAACAGTATGGGAGGATTTCATCCTCCTTCACTGCAGAAGCTGTTGTTAGGGTTTAACCTCTTGGTTGCTCGGTGCCAGACTTGCTCTTATAACATCCGTCTCTGAGCAAGAGAGGGAACAGAGCAGTGTGCCCAGGAATACTTAAACTGACGTCAGAGTTGCACACAGCCAGGAAGGTGTCTCAGCTGTGATGCCATTGCCTCTAACTCTGCTTTTCCACTTTGTTCTCTTTTGTTTTAGGGCCGTTGCATCAATTTCACCAGGGTGAAGAACACAGAGGCCCCACCCAAATACCCGCTCAACAATGCATACCCTCCGTCATCTCCACCTCCAGCACCCATCTACAACCCTCCGCCCCCAGCTCCGATCTATACC